TCTGGGAGCATTTCGTCATTCCTATCTGGAATGCCGAGCCGCATGTGACCCGGAAAAGGACCAGGCCGACTGGGCTTTACTTCTGCAGGTTCGGGGCGGGGGACCCTCCGCCTTGTCTCAGAGCTTGGAGGCTGGCGAGTTCTGGCTCTGCGTGTGCGGGAGGCCCCTAGGGCTGGGTCTGGGGGCGGACAGGCCTTGGGCCAGGTGCTGTGGGAGCCACGGTGGCCACCAGCCAGTGTGGGTGGAGAGGACATCAGGAGCCAGACTGTAGTCCCTGGCTGCTGATTGGCGTGGAAGCCGTTCAGGGATTAAATTTCTTGTGGTCCAGATTGTCCAGGCTGCCTGAGTGGAGGGATGAGGTCCAGTACCCCACGGTGGGCTGTGGTTGCATCTGCTGGTGGGCGGGAGACCTTTCCCACCTCAAGTAGTCTCTCCTAGGGTCCTCCATGGCTGTGAGGGCAGGATCGGCAGGCAGAAGCAGGGGTCTGGGCTGATTCCAGGCCACTCTGAGGTAGGCTCTGGGCATCCGTGGGATTATTGGGGAGCTCGGAAGGTGCTCCCTGCGCTCCTCCCCAGAGCAGCATCTGAGTGCTCTGCACTTTGACAGACGTCCCCTTATCACCTCCAGGTGGTTTTATTCCCGGCCTCCGTCTGCCTTTGTGCTGCTCCAAGACCGTTGTTAGGGCACGCCTGAGTGCTGCTTCTCACTTATCTCACTGCTTTGGCTTTTCTATAAGACCTTTATCTTGGGGGGAAGAGGCTGTCGGCTTCAGTGTTGTTTCTCATTTCTCTGGCAAAGAAGCACACCCAGCAGGTGTTTTGTAGCTGATTGAACGCGTTCTGCCTCTGGGCCGCTTCTCGGCCTGTCCCTCCAAGACCCCTTTCCGGTTCTGACACCCGCAGGCCTTGAGGTCCCAGGGCCCAACCCTCGCTGTGGAGTCAGGCCCATACTGGTTCCGGCACGGTGACCGCAGGATGTACCTTTCCTGAGCCACTGGTCATCTGCTTGTGGTGGTGATGAGCATGGAGCCCAGGCTGGTTCTCTCTGCTTCTCTGAGGGCCACAGGCAGCTGTAAAGTGGACTTACAAGATGAAGGTGTTCTAGGAGATCGGGGGTCTTTTCCCAGCCATTCCGTTTTGATGGCTCCGGAACCGCGTTCTCTTGACCCAGTTAGGGTGGATGGGTCCACTGGCTTCTGACTGTGGCCCTTAAGAGGTGTCTGAGTTTGTTGAAAGCTTGTCTTTTTTTTTTTTTTTTTTAAAGGGAAAGGACTCAGAATACTAAGATTTTACTTATGTATTTGACAGAGACAGAGAGAGAGAGAGAGAGCACAAGCAGGAGGGGGGAGAGGGAGAGGGAGAAGCAGGCTTCCCACTGAGCAGGGAGCCCGATGCGGGGCTCGATCCCAGGACCCTGGGACCATGACCTGAGCCGAAGGCAGACGCTTAATGACTGAGCCACCCAGGCGCCTCTGAAGGCTTGTCTTTTGAGGTATAAAAGTGTTCATACATTTGACCCAGTAATCCTATTTCTGGGATTTATTCTGAGGCTACAGTTCAAGATGCAGAAATAATTATGCTGTATTAAATGAGGCTTATTAGTACAACAGTGAGAGAGAAGCCTGCACACACGTGTCCACCAGGGACGACGCGTGAGTGGGTGTCCTGCCCTGAGGGCCGAGCGGGGGGTCCGGGCAAGCCGTCCCGAGGCCGGGCAGCGCTCGGTACTGTCTGTCAGGCCGGGGTGGACACGGTCTCTGTTTAACATAAAGACGTCAAGGACTGGAAGGAAGTGCAGCAAACCTGACTCCCATTGCGCCTGTTTCGATCTGTCACCTAAGCCACGTCCCGAACCAGTGTGTCCGGTACCACAGGACAACGTGCAGCAGGAGGACGCAGATGAGAAGGTGGGCAGGGCGGGTGGCTGGCCCAGCTGAAGCGGGGCGGGGGCTCCCCGAGAACGGGGCCTCTCTGCACTCCTGCACACACCTCTGTCATATTTTCTCTTTATTTTTTTTAAAGATCTTTAAAATTTACTTATTTGAGAGAGAGTGAGCGAGCACATTTGAGAAGAAGCAGACTCCCCGCTGAGCGGGGAGCCCGACGTGGGGCTCGATCCCAGGACCCCGAGATCGTGACCTGAGCTGAAGGCAGACGCTTAACTGACTGCGCCATGAGGCGCGCCTCTCATATTTTCTCTTTAAACAAAACAATAGTTTAGAAACAAACAAAACCTCTTTTCTGCCCCCAGGAGCGTTCAGAGAAGGTTATTTGTGGTCTTCAGATTTTCGGATAGCTGAAGGTGCATGTTAAATACCCGGGGTAAGGTTGCAGCGGCTCGGGTAGAGATTTTTCTCCAGTGCAGTACCTCCCTTCTGGGCGTCACAAACAGCAGTGTAAGCATAGTTTCACTTTAATGCTACCCTCAGGCCCTCCAGGAAGGGCAGGCCTTCTGCCCCATCCGTGGAGACCCCTGGTTGACCTGCTTCTCGTGGGGTCTTCTCCCCACCTCTGGTGGGAGCCAGGCGGCCGAGCTCACAATGCTGGGTTTTAAAACTGGTGAGCAGGCCCGTGTGTGTGGAGCTCCTCTGTTCCTCGGTGCGGTCCCTGGCCGGCAGTTCTAGGAAGGCCGGGGTGCCTGCCCTGTGCTCTGCCTGATGCATGTCCCACGCCCGCGTTGCTGCCCAGGACAGCACGGGGTGTAGACGAGCCTGAGGAGCACGACAGGAGACCTCCTTGGGGCGCCTCAGGCTGGCGCCTGGGGGCGAGGCCACTGACCTCCTAGGCCTGGCTCTTGTCCTCCGAACTCAAGGCCAGAAGCCACAGCCTTGAGTCTTGACCTTAGCAATACCATTGGCTCTGGTCAGGGGAGAGGTCCTGAGAGGTGACCCGCCCTGCTGTCAGTCACTGGCCTACAATGGCTTCTAAACACGGGGAGCCAGAAGTTTTATTTCACTGGGGCTGTTTACTTAAATCTCAAACTATATTTGAATCATGCAAAAGAACATTGTAACACGTTCATAAGTTATGAGGCAGGATACACCCCCTGCCCACACCGCCAAGAACTCGCCTCCACCCTCGGGGCCCCTTCCCTCCCAAAGGGAGCCCCAGCCCTGCACTTGGACACGAGTGATTGTCATCTTCCCACTTGTCACCGCTTCTCGTCTCCACTCTGGGCGAGGCCTGCCTAGCTGTGCGATGTCTCTGGTGATGTCGCTGGCCATCCGGGCCGGTGGGGACCGTGAGGCTGTAGCTGAGAGCACGCACAGGCTCCTTGAGGCCCAGGGAGGGGCTTTGCAAAGAAAGCGGCTGTGACTGTGCTCACCTGAGCTCTGTCCAAGTGCCAGTGAATCCAGGTGTGAACCGAGAGCAAGCAGGAAGTGGGGTGGAATTGTGGTGGGGGCACCTCCACTCCTTGCCCCGGGGACCTTGTGTGCGTGGCTCCCAAGTGCTGTCGGCCTGGCCCCCTGGCCCGCCGCCACCCGGAGCTGCCCGGGGCTGCGCAGAGGGAGCGGGGCCAGGCAGCGCAGCCCGCATTCCTGGCTTTGGGTGAGAAATCAATCCCCCTTGGGCGCCTGGGTGGCTCAGTTGGTTAAGCGACTGCCTTCGGCTCAGGTCATGATCCTGGAGTCCCGGGATCGAGTCCCGCATCGGGCTCCCTGCTCAGCGGGGAGTCTGCTTCTCCCTCTGACCCTCTTCCCTCTTGTGCTCTCTGTCTCTCATTCTCTCTCTCTCAAATAAATAAAATCTTTAAAAAAATAAAAATAAACCCCAAATTCTTTAAAAAAAAAAAAAAAGAAAGAAAGAAAGAAATCAGTCCCCCTTTAGCATCTTGACAGCAACCTGTGAAGAGCCTGGGGTGGCACCGGCCTCGGGAAGGGAAGGTAGGCAGAGGAGTCTTTGCACGCACATCCCACATCCAAGAATATTTTGTTTCAAGTAAATCACACAGCGGGTTTGCAGGCAAGGACTTGCCTGCGAGGTTCATGGTCACAGACACTGCTGCCCGTGAGCAGAACACTGAGCTCAGAACTGGGAGGCATTTCCTTGGTGCGTTTATTGCCAGAACATCCAGCTTTGTGAGTGCCTTTCTGGCATTTACTTTACATGTGTCATAAATCCATCACTGCCTCCCCTGGAGGCCACAGGACGGGCCGGGCCGAGGCTTCCTTGTCCCTTCCAGCGGGCACGGGGCTGGAGGGGACTTGCCTTAGTTTTGGCAAATGCCCAGGTTCCCTGTCCTGTGGGCACCTTCCCATCGCTTGCCCTTCGAGACTGTGGGACAGAAGTTACTACGGGGTCTGGACGTCTTCTGTCACACTCTGTGGGGACCTGTGTGTCTTCCTTTCCCTGGACCCCCTGCAGCCGGCACTTCTGTTTCATCTCTTGGCCAGTGCACAGGGTGGGCCGCTACGCACCGGGACCTGCCACTGAGTGCCTGAGGGACTGTGGCCAGCGCATTGCCTTCCCCGGGCGGGAAGGGGGCTGGTCACCTCACCAGCCGTCCCTGCGGGGCCCCGGGGACGGTGGCCTGAGATGCTCCACAGCTGTGGAGCATCTGTGCTGCATCAGGGGACGCTGTCCCCCTGTGGGGCGGGGAGGGCGAGCCATTTGTCTCGAGTTTGGATGAAGGCTCGTGGCTCCCAGCAGCGGCATCTGGCAGAGTTGCTGGCTCGCCTGGCTTGGGAGTTTGTGCCCCTTGAGGGTGGCCTGTGGCCACGCAGGTTTGGCTGCCTGTCCCCTCCCTCCACCCCTTGAGGGTGTCGTCCTGCCTGTGGGGCCTCAGGTGCCCAGGGACGTGGCTTCCCGTGGCTTCAGGGGCTCCCAGGAGGCCCTGCTACACAGGAATGCGGCGGCCTGTTCTGACAGGCTGCTCTCCTGTTCTCTCCCTCGGCAGGCGAAGCCCCGATGGCTGTCTCCTGGCGGAGGGTGACAGGCGGCCCCCTCCCCGCCTCCCCCGGCGCCCCTGGGGCCCCGCTAACAGCTTGCCTCTGGTTCAGTTTCCAGGCCGAGCGGCCCGCGCTGAATGTCGTCATCTTCCCTCTGCTCCACGAGGGCCTGACCAATGTCATCCGGGACGTCCCCATGGTGCACCTGGATGAGATCACCTTATTTAAAAGCAGAGTGGCTGAGGAGCCACCGAACCTGTGGTGGTGACAGGGACAGCTAGCGCCGGGCGAAGCTGCTTCCGGCGGCCAAGCCTCCTGCCAGCCACTGTCGCCTCTGTCAGTCTCCTGGGCCTGGAAGCACGACTGCCCTGAGGGGCGTGTGGCCCGGCTGCTGCTGCTCACGCCTGCCCCTGCCGGACACCGGGGCCCCTTGGGTCCCAAGAGGAAGGACTCCCCCTCTGCCCGGCCATCCCGCGCCCCTGTCGTCTCCCAGGGCCCCCCGAAGCTTCCTCTTGCTTGCTCTTGGCGCTCGGTGAAACGCGAGTCCCATCCGCGAGGAGGATGAGAAGGAAGAGCCGGCTGTCCCTGCAGGGCCTGGCGTGGGTGCTCCTGAGCTGAGACTGTCGTCCGTCACGGAGCGCTGACTCTTCGGGGGCCCTGACCCGGTCCCCAGAGCAGCACGGGGCCCCAGTGCTGCCCACCCCCCCCTGCCCCCGCCACCGCCTCTTCCACCCTCCAGTGTGTCTCACGTGTTTCTGGCCGCCTGCCGTCAGGCTCTGCAGAGGGGTGGCCTCAGGCCCGGGGCTGGAGGTGACCGTGTGTGTGGGGACGGACACGCTCACATGGTGGCACAATGGCACGGCTTCCCTCGGGCCAGCTGGGAGCACGGCGCGGAGGGGAGCTCCAGATTCGGGGCTCTCCTTCCCAGTAACACATGTTTTAACCCAATTATGTCTCCAGCATGTTTCCAGCCAGATGGCGTCAGACAAGTTTGGAGCCGCTGGCTGGGCTGGGACCCCGTGGGGCTGGGACGGCGGGGCAAGGCCTGGGCCAAGCCCGCTGTACAGCCAGCACGGCACTCAGCTTTAGGACCTCTTCTCCGTGAAGATCTGTGTTTCTGGGGAAATACATACCTGGCTTCATTCAAGAAACTTGAAATATTAAAACTTAGAAAGGACATTTAAGGCCAGAGTAGTGATCAAACTACCCCGTTTCGTATAGCTTTATTTAGCACTTTAAAAAATTCAGTGCAGCTATTCCAAAAATGGGGAGTGACCTCCCAGTGCCCAGGGCCTCCCTTCCTGTGCTGAGCCTGCTGCCTTCTCGACCGCCAGACTCCCCAGAGCCGGTGGCCCCTCGGCCGATGGCTTCCGAGGGGCTGCAATCAGGTGCCCTCCACCCCGGGTCCAGCCCTGACCGCTCTCGGTGATGCTCCTGGAGGCTTGCCAGGGGTCCTGGGCACCATTGGACGGCTTCCAGGCGGGGGCACGTCAGTCCTGCAGAGGCTGCCTCCCCAGGCCTCCCTCTCCCTCTGGGTTGGGGGTGCAGAGCCCACCAGGCCCTGCTCACGCTGCTGGTGCCCATCTGCTCTGGGCCCCCAGCCTCGCCATCTTCCCACTTTGTGTCTGTGGAGACAGTCCCCCTCTCCCCCATTCCGTGTAGCATGTCCTGCAGCTTACCTACTAAAAGAGCGGGTCCGTGACCCTGGGGCTTTTCATTTGCCTTTCCATCCCTGGGTTCTTGAGGGAACTGACCACTTCTTCTCCTCCTGCAGCCCCCACCCCCGTGGGGCTGAAGGGGTCCAGGAGGCCAGACAGCACAGCTGCAGGAATCAAGCAGTCCCGGGGTCAGGGCCCTGGGAGGAACAGTCTGCCCATCCCAGGGGCTCTGCTTTGCCCTCCGCCCTCCTGTCTGAGTGGACGGGGGGATGCACGGGTGCCGTGGGGTGAGTCTCCTCCCTCCTCGCCCTGGTTTTCATGCCCTCTCCCTGCCCCGGGCTGAGGCTGGCACTTCTTTGCAGCCCGGCCAGAGGGACTGGTCTGCAGGCTGCCCGTAGGTGAATGCCTACAGCCTTCACCTTAGAGGTCCTGATGTGGTCTGAGAGCCCTGCCTGGCCTCACAGGCTGAGGGACAGACTGCCCTGGGCCCCGGAGAGACAGGGCTGAGGTCCCGATAGGGCCCCATGGCTGTAGATGAGGGTCTGAGAGTTGGTGGGCACACTTCCCCTCCCCAATTTTGGGGTATTTCAGGTGGTGCCCAGAGGACCCCCCCCGCCCCAGGCAAAGGTGGTCAAGGAAGGGGGTGGTAAAGGGAACTGACCACTTCTTCTCCTCAAAGCAAGCATGTGGCTGGTCGCAGCCTGACTGGCATGGGAGTGTTCCCCAGGGGGGAGGTGCCCAGGGCCCTGGGTGGCTCTGGGTGCCCTTCTCTCCTCCAGAGCAGCCCGGGCTCAGGCTGGAGAATGAGCTTTCCACTAGGCTGCAATTGTGTGTTCACGCCCTCGCCTGGGTGGCCTCTTCTCACGAGCAAGCAGTTTTAACCAGCAGCAGCATTTATGCCAACAAACAGGGCCCGGAGGGGCCGTTTACCCCGAGGCTGGGTGCGTGAGCTGCCGTGGAGAGCCGCCCCCACACAGTAGACTGTGTACTTTAAACGTCCCTGTAACCATCTTGCTACTAGAGCAAGAACTTCCGCCGCTTCTGCCCTCGGGACGGGACTCACCAGATGTTAATAGTGTGCTTATTCTCGCTAAGTGCTATTTTGGCAGCGGTGTTAATTGCAATTTATATTCTGCAGCATTTTATGCTGGGAAAAGAACCCACCCTAATGGTCCCCAATTGGCAGAACTGGGCTGTTAAGTGCGGACCATATGCTGCCTGCCGAGAGGGGGCCTGGTCAGCACTGCTGGCTGTGCGTGTGTGCGCGTGCGCACATCTGCGTGCACGCACACATGAGTGTAGTCTGCACACGTGCATGGTGTGCGTGTGTGTGCACATGTGCATGCGAGCACGTTTCTGCATGTGATCGCGTGTGTGCGTGTGCATGTGATCGCGTGTGCGCGTGCGTGAGTACACCTGCCTGCACACACACGTGAGTAGTCTGTACACATGCATGGTGTGCGTGTGTGCGTGCACGTGTGCATGTGAGCACGTTTCTGCAAGTGATCGCGCGTGTGCGTGTGATTGCGTGTGTGCATGCGTGTACATCTGCGTGCACACATGTGAGTAGTCTGTACATGTGCATGGTGTGCGTGTGTGCGTGCACATGTGCATGCGAGCACGTTTCTGCATGTGATCGCGTGCTTGTGCATTTCTGTGTGTGATCGCGTGTGTGCGTGTGCGTGTATGAGAGAGAGGAGAGACTGGGGGAGGTGGGAATGACGAGGAGGGAGGCGGGGAGAGATCAGGGCATTTACCCCTTTGTTAAAATAGAAGCCCCCTGCCCTCCCAAGGCCGCTCCTCCCGCCTGTGCCCACCTCGCCCCTAGACCTTGTGGCTCGCTCCCCCCACCCCACCCCCGGGTGGCCAGGCATGCCTGTCCCCGGGGCTCTGACTTGGGTGCCACACAACCTGGCCGGAGGGTCTGAAGGTGCTCCCCGGGGGAGGCATCTGGAGCCTGAGAGGAGCAGAGGCCTGCAGCCTCCTTCCCTGTCGGTGGCTTTTCATTCTCACGTGCAAGTATTTTTAGTTCCCAGCCCAAGGAGGCTGGATTAGGGACACTTCACTCTGTCATACACCCCGGGGGGCGGATCTTCTCCCTGCCTGTCAGCCGTCCTCTTGAGGACCCAAGGATTCATGGGTCTGGGCCCCTGTGTCCAACACCAGGCTGGAGGGTGCTCTGCTGGGGCCCGCGGCTGGGGCCCAGGACGGGCCCTGGGATGACGCCCCCCACACACACCTCGGGCAGCTCTTGCAAGGCTGGGTGTTGAGGGTGAGCCTCCCTTAACCGGTTGCCCCTGCGCCAGGACCCACGGCTGCAGGCCACTTGGCTGCAAGGACGAAGCTTGGCGGAGGCCCGGCTGGGAGAGCTGGGCCCGGGGAGCAGGGCCGCAGGAGCCACGGGACCTGGATGTCTGTTGGCCCTCGAGGGTCTGAAACCAGCCTGTGCCGTCCTGGTTGTGCCAGTGGTCCTCCTCGAGTCTGTGTCAAGAAGGTGACGATCCCGCCGCCTCCCCCCAGCTTGCAGGAAGGGGACCCACCCTCATGACCTCCTCTGAGTGGCACGGGGGTATCAGGCAGTCCCCTGCTCTCTCTGGCCCTCATTATCTGCTCTGGAGGGTTTGAGAATTGTCGAGGCCTTGTAAGGAAGAATAATAAGAAATGAGAAATTAGTGGACGAGTATAATGCAGTGTGTCCGGTGGTGGCAGATTTCAGCGGAGACCCCAGATTTCCGATGCAGATGTGGAAGGGGGCACCGCTGCCCGCAGTTCCCTTGGCCTTGGCCCTGGCCCTGGCCCTGGCCCTGAGCCTCCTCCCCCACACTTCGCCAGGAGGGGACGGGATTGTGCGGCGGGGGCTCGGGTGCCCTTGCGGTGCTCACAGGCCTCGTTTGTGCTGGGGGCACGGGGTTCTCACTGGGAGTCGCTAAGGTCGCTGACACAGGCTGGCTGGTGTCACCTGAATGTCTAAATTACTTTCTAGAGCTTTTTCAGAAACCACGGTGGGGGGCGGGAGGGGGAGGTGGCATTCATGTCACGGGGTCGGGGCACCTGCTGCACCCTGCCCGGGACCAGCCAGCGGGGGAATGGCGGGCGGGGCGAGCCAGGGCTGCCCGTGGTTGTGAGGTCCGGGAGCCACGTTCACCGCCTGGGAGGTTCGGTCTGTAGCGCTCCACTAAACCTGACTGACGAGGGGATGGTTTTCTGTGGAATCCTAGCGGTGTGGGCCAGATCCAGTCCTCTGTGTGCTCACCGTAGCGGGCGGGCTGGAGGGCGAGGGGGCCGGAGAGGCGGCCACGCGACGGCCGTAGTGCAGGTAGGGTGTCCAGCCCCGGCCCCCCGCGACCACTGCCTGTCCGTATGCGGCTGACCAGAAGCACTTGAGCTCAGCATGTTTTTAAAAGGGTGGGGTGAGTTGGCCAGGGGGCTCACGGTATGTGGTGACCAGGTGCTAAGTGACCAAATACGTGTCACCTGCTTTTCCACACAGACCTCCTTTTCTGTCTGGCGATGCCCACTCCTGAATTTTGTGTTCAAATGACATTTTTGAATGGGTATTTTCATGTAAATTTGTGGCATGTGGAAAGTTTCAAATAAAGTGGACTTGATTTAGAAAACCAGGTGAT